TGGAAACAACGTTTATTATATTACGCCTCCGTTTAAATGCGTAAGCGCCGCACAAGAAACTGTGACGATCTTCTGTAAAAAGAATTGCCAACTAAAAATTTAGAAAATGAGTCACTGTGTAATTTTTGTACAGTGACTGTATTCGTCTAAAAAGGCATTTAACTCTATATATCTGCCTTGATCTTCTAGGGGTAGTTCTTGGATTGAAATATCGTTGGGCTTTGGAGAGAATTTTCCTTCCATTCGTCTTTAAAGGGGCAAAGAAATTTGCGGATTATCGCCCTTAAAAGAAGGGGGCCGTTATACATGCAAAGTTATGACATCGATGACTACGTTATTGCCCTAAAGGTGAAGTCGACGGGGTCGCAGGTCGCGCTTTTTATGCAATGTTGTTCCATGCAAAGTTATGACATCGATGACTACGTTATTGCCCTAAAGGTGAAGTCGACGGGGTCGCAGGTCGCGCTTTTTATGCAATGTTGTTCCAATACTGTCGATGAGATCGTTTCACGTTCACCGTGACTTCGTTCCTTAAGGGTTATTTCGTGTGAAATTATACGTCTGACTGCTGCACGATATTACGATTTCATCTTTTGACAAACATAAATTTGAGCGTGAATGAAATGCAAATGAGGGCATAGGGTTTGATAGATAATTTACAATGTTATCAATATGCTAATGAAGCTGTCTTTTTTCTTTGGGATGCGATTAACTTTAACAAAAATTAAGGATTGTCATAGCCCGAATCTTCGATTAATTGCACCAATCACGGTGGTTTAATTTATTACTGACCAGCCAGATCGAAAGCGACACAGATTAGCAATTTGAAGTAGATCCTTCAATAAGGTTATTTTATTACTATATTCAAAAATATCTATTTTATGGTACTACTTCATCAGTTGTAACAATGAAACTCGTTTTTAGTACTAATGGCATGATTAGGTTCTGCTTTTCTGGAAGCAAATCTGAATTTAACGCATATGCAACTATTACTATTCAACTATTACTTAGGCCACTTAGGGTTTCTTTATATGAGCAACAAATTAAATTGCTTCATGCACCGCTAGATACGTGACAATATTCGAACGGTGACAAATAAAGAATCGCCTCAGTCTTTCTTAATGACTTTTGTTTAGAAAGTAGATATCTATTAGCTATTGTGGTACTGTATAATTTCCGGGGGTTAGTTTTTATTCTTTACGGGTGAAAACTACTCCTATTCGAAAATAAGTTCAAACCGGTGTAATCGCTTCCTTCAATAGTAACTTAACCGATTTGCATTAAAATCTACATTTATGTTCTTTCAAAGTATGAACCTCTGCATCTATAAGATTATAACATTGTAGATTCAAGGTGTAATCGAAAAATTATTTAAATAAATAAAATAAACATTGGCACTCTGAGGGACCTTAAAAAATCACTCATTATGGAATCTTCAAAAATGTTTTTCAGCAGCTTGCAATATTGCAAATAATATTTCATATAAATATAACAAGTGATACATCAAAATTTAGGAAACAACGTTCTTTTCAGAAAGTTCAAAATATATAGGGTGGTCCGTATGAAAAATGGTAGTTTAGGATCGCATCAAGAGAACTAAACGCCCTGTATTAAAACTGTGCATCGCGATGTATTCTATCTAAAAAAGTGCTCTAAGAACGATTTGGCCAAAATCAATTATCTTTAATAATAAGGAAGTCATGGGGCATTGAAGAAATCGACTAAATTCGAGAAACGCCCTCTAGTGGCCAAACGATTAGAGATATAGTTCAATCCTCCGCCAGTGATTTTCTCTTTATAATTAAGCTCTAGACACCTAGGTCCATTTTTTCAATCTCATAACATAAAGGGTGTTTCCGTAAGAAATAGTGTCCAATTTGGACCACCCTGTACATACCTACACTTAATTGTAAAGCGGTAAAGATTATTTTTATTTGTGGTGGTAGTTATAGGGAGTAGGTCCCAATATTTTCGTTATAACTCGCTTAATTAGGTATGTATTTAAAAAAAAATAATTTCAAAATTTTCAAACACTTGAAAAAAGGTTATACGAGTGGTCTCCGAAAAATGTACCGCAAACCCATTTTCCTTTTTTTATAAGCTATACAATTTCGCTGAGAATGATTTTTTCGATAAAATATTTACTTTTTAAGTTATTCCCGAAAATAATCTGAAAAATTGGGTTTCGTTTAATGTATTAATTCCTTTATCCATTCCCAGACTTATTTTGAATGAAACATTAACCCCCAGGGTAAAAGTAGACTCCGGTACAAGGCCAACAGGTAAAGAAGTAAGTAAAGTAGACCAATTCAAATTTTTATGGAAATCGGTGGTTTGACACAATGACGGGAAAGCGGTCATTTCATGGACTAAGCAAGTCAGCTGCGAATTGTTATCGAGCCGAGTTTTTTTCTAAACGCAAGAGTTAGGTAATAAACGCAAAAAAACCGTATTTTGGCCGCCATTTTCTAAAATGTCGGCTTGAGCATTTTAATGAGATGGCAACAATGAATTTGTGTACCGATTTTCTAGCTTGTATTATAGATTTTTGAAATATATAATTTTTGGCCTAAAATGACTGGTCTATAAGACCATGCACCAGGTTTGCATAATACTCTGCCGTTACGTTACTATAATTCATATAATCAATCGGCAAAATTCCCAATAGTCCCAAAAAATGGTTGCCATTATTTTTCCTACAAAAGGGGTGACTGTATCGACTCTTGTTTGGATTCAGGATCATAATGGGCTAGTCAAAATCAACACACAACATCGCTAAATTCGCAAAACATGATGTATCTCTAATTTTTTAATACGCTGTTTGGACCCATTACAGTATTGTATACCCAACTTTGCAACTCTCAACGCAAAAAGCGTAGCACACGAAAAACCGTAAAGTTTTCGGACTTTTTCAGTAGGGTGAACAACATATTATGCAAAGCATTCATAAATAGAAAAGAAATAATAAGAAAAATAAAAAATGACCTTAACGTTTGGATGCTGAACGTACATATTGAATCAACGAACAAAAAGTGAAATACAAGCTACAGAAATATAATACCGTAGAAGAGTGACAATAATGGACCATGAAGGGGTTTTAACCTTGGTTTTATAACAAAGTACTAATAGTACTGTATAGTACTAGTGTTCCTTTATAAATACAATGGTAGTACGTCACATGATCGAGAAAAGGGCAACATGCCAAGAAGGACGAATGGAGTAATTTTCTAACGGTCTTGAAATAGATTTATAACAACTCAATGTTTATTATTCACTTTTATTAACAACACATTTATCACACGAGCGCGAATTTTATTATTGATCACTTCGACATCGATATTAAAACTAAGACTAAACACAATTTAATTTGCTTATACGAGTATAGTAAACAAAAAACTTCTAGAAAAATAACGAGTTAGCATAATATTTCATAGAAAGAATGAGCCACATTCGCTTTCCTTATCACCGGTGACTAATCCCTTATCGACTTGATGGCGCCTTGATGAATCTAGCTAGAAGAATCGCGACACGTTTATTTTGCCTTTGCATGTTATTCTTTTTCTTCTCCATGAAGTACTTTTAATTAATTTATGTAACCAAAATATATATAAATAAACGTCCAACTTTACGCTTGTTGATGATGTTACCTATATACGTACACTTACCCCATAATGATTATTTAGTACAAATGCGGGTAAATTTGTTAAAATACCAAAATATACCTACGTTAAAAATATGTCAGTTTCACCAAACATTTCTGATATTTTTGAAACACTCATATGCTTAACCATTTACTGTTGACAGAAGAAATATTTTGATGACTTGATCTTTAGAGCGATATAAATATTGACCACTAGGACGTATTAATCGTCTTTCACAAAATTTATGTACTCTGTTCACGATATGGCTCACCTACCTCGCAAATTCGGCGATTCATTAATCATAAAACACTGAAGTATTTATTATCCGCCCATACCTCTATACTGAAGATGATCGAATTTATTCAACATTTCCGACGACTTCCTCAACGCGATTAACCGTCGTCCTGTTGCCAATTTCCAAGAAAAGGTGCGCGGGCCATAACCTTGACCGCTCTGCACTAGATCTAATTTTTTCAGATAGCTAACTCCAGAGTCTACTAACCAACAAAACGTATTTGGTCAGCCTGCAAGGTAATTAATTTATCCGCTACTGGTAATCGACAAAATACATGACCGTACCTACGTGTACTGTTGAAAGACCCATAATTACTCCACATTCTTTATTGGTTTTGAATTGAATTTAGTTTTCGTACCCATTAATTACCACTTGATAAATTACGACTCCAAAAAGAGGCGTGATCTACTTAGATGCCGTAGAAAATAGATCAAAATTCGATGGTGCAATCGATGCGATGACTTATCGAACTTGTCCCGTCGATAGGAAAGGGAAATGAATTTAATTAGAAAATGCAAATGATCGCGGGCGTTTTTCGAGGTCTAAATATGGGGATACGACCAGTCCAACTGCAGACAACTTTCTTGGCATATAAGAGAGAGTATTTCATTGTGTAAACAAAACATAATTGTGGTTACAAATACTGTATATATAACGGACGTAAAATACGTAAATATCGTAGTATTCGTTTAAAAATCCTCCGGTTATGTGTGTGCTAATATAATCGTATCGAGTTCTTAGAATACGCTCATCGCTGATCCCTAAAAACATTTCAGTGTTTATAAATAATTAATGACTATAAATTAACTCTTGGATAATTTTGGTGATAGCGACCAGTAAGTAATGAACAATTATTTTTTTTACGTTTCATATTAAGTAATCTGGGTCGAATATGATTTAATAAATTTGTTGTAATAAACGCGGTCTCTTAAAAACCAAGTGGCGTTAATGACGTAGATCTATTCAATTCGATTGATTAATGTATGTCAGCTGGGCACTAGGAAAAAAGTTTCCGATTTCGTCGATAGCCAGTTTTGTTTAGTCTGCTTCTTTCGTCGTGTATGAGTGGTAAATGAAGAGTTATTGAAAGACAAATCAACCCCTATTACAATGCAGTTCAAATACCTAAATCAGCCGACTGATACAATGCCGGTTCATCTACATATAAATTATTCATTTACATGATTTATGATACCACAATAAATGACGTCATAATTAAGCCGCGCGTCGGGTAAAGCAATTAAAATAAAGTCATCATACAGTAGTGGATTATTTAAGCGATTACCAACAGTTCACCCACATATAAATCCATGAATTATGCGTATTTTGTGGTGAATAATATGCAGTAGTTACAATCACACGCTAATAAGGGATGACGTTAGTTTTGATTCATTGCATAAATGGTCATAAATTTTGAGATCGTATGTCCAAGGATCCGTTCAGTTGTTCATGACACACATCTTCTGCGGACGTTTCGCACATATACTTCGTAATCTCATTTGATCTCAAGTATAAATATTCAAATTTATTCGATAATACGTCATTTGACGAAGAGAGGCAACTATCACGTATTATTTTTAACAATTATTGTTGTCATTTATGTGGTTGTTGAGAATTTATTTCTAGGATTGAGGCTTCGGAACACTGAATATAGAATTAACAAATTAAATAATTTAATAGTTGCCCATGCAAGATGTACTGAGACTTTCAGTCTGATATCTGTTGATTTCCAAGTATTGTTTAATTTAACCTATTATACTGACCTAGGTATGGCGACTACCGACCTACGAATTATCTTTGGTGCAGTTTCAATTTGAATTCATGAAATGTATTTTCCGTAATATTTCAATTTGTTTAATTGCTTAACCAGTCGCAATAAAGATAAGTAGACATAACAGATTCATAACAAATTATAAATACATTAAACATAATTTGTGTATTATCTACCTGTTAACTTGTTTTTATAATCTTTTATGGTTAGCTACTGGGTATTGTTTTTTTTATTAAACATTGAGTAAAAAACTGTTTATTTACAACCTGTTTTCCAATTTCGGACACATCTATTATTAACACGATAAATACCTAGTGCTGATTGATCAAGTCGAAGAATATTAACTGACATCAAAATAGGCAACATTACTATTGAAGTACCTTAAACTAATACCTACTAAATATACAGGGTGTCTCCATTAACACTTCCGCTCTAATAAATCATCAAAAATCCAGAGAAGTATATAGTGCTCGTATATCACCACTCTGTATCGGACATCTCTTTTAGTTGTGTAGTTAATCTATTAAAAAGTTCTCGAAAAATTCAGATGTTAACAGTTAATTAACAATTGTTGGGTATTTTTCGATGTAAGTAATGGAATTTGGTAATTATATATTCTGCTGCAAAATGACAGTTATGGATTACTGTCAACACGAGAGGTTGGTCACTTAATAACCTTAGTGTATATAACCTTCAACAATTTTTAAAATTCCAGTAATTTTTTAATAATTTTAATAATAATGAGAGGTGGAGGCGACCAATACAAATATTTTTTCCAATTAAACTCAAGGTCCAAAGCGTTTCGTCGTTCCTAAAAGCAAAGAGTACCCTAAAAGTACCAAGATTTGCGTTTCTTTGTTCAATTTTTTCCCAGCAACAACAATCTCGACAACAACACATCTTAGAGGATAGAATTGCAGATTAGGCTCGATTTTTTTCGTTTACTCTTTCTGATTTGAAAAATATTCCTAACTCCATTTGGCGCATCCATTACCAGCGGCGCGAGAAAAAAATTCCGAGGTCGTGTAAATTAGGTATCACGGTACTTATCTTTGAAAATGGCGGAATCAAATTTAAATTAAAAAATTTAAAAAAAAATGCTTTTGGTCTACATTCGGCTGGCGCATGCGCGGCCAATCTCTTCTACTCATTTTTTTACGTACAAACATAACTGTTACGCCCTGTATAGTTCACATATCGGCGGACGATATAATACTTGCATAGTAGGCCAATACAAATAAAAACCAGTACAAAAATTCTCTTAGAATCTATCTAGTCAGCAATATTGCTATTACTCGCTCCTAGAATATTGGAAGTCATAGACGTTATCTGTTGTACGTTATCTGTGGTATGGTATGTTATTTGAACTGTAATATCGCTACGTTATTATAGATTAATCATTTTTTATGTTATACAATAGTTAATGACTTACCTTTACATTTTAGAAATGGCAACAAAAGGTTCAATAAAATTATTATTATTATTATTAATACCCAAATTTTACATTACGGTATGTTTTTTTACTGTTTCCCATATCTATGTTCAATTTGAAAAAAGTACCACTCGGAAACTTAGCAATTTAAAAAAAATTGCACAATTCGTTTTTTTAAATGTCACTTTTATTATAAAAACTAGCAGTCCCGGCGAACTTCGTACCGCCTTTAGGAAATCCCGTGAGAACTTTTCGGAGTATACCTTAAAACGCCTCCAAAGAAACCTATGTTCTAAATGTAAAGTGTGGTCTGTAAAACGTAAAATCCTGTTTTTTTCCTGTTCTCGGTCCCGGTCCCGTGGGAATTTCGAAAAGTCACTAACTCAGAATTTTTCACGGGCACACCTCCAACCATTTCCCTAAGTTTCATTGCAATGGGATAAACGGTTTATGCAGGCATAAGAGACAGCCACACAGACAGAATATCCATTTTTGTTTATATAGTTAATAGCAGATCTGACGAACGTTGTATCGCCTATCCCGGCGAACCTTGTACCGGGTGACCCAATAAGACTGTTCCTCGGTCATATCTCGGGAACCGTTGGTCGTATGACATAGGGGTAAAAAAATTATTGGGTAAATCAATCATGAAGAATCGCTGGAAAATATTTTCAAGTTCAAAAAATGACCAACAGAGGCCGTAACTGCCATCTTACATTTTAAAATTGCATTTTCTATAAATTTCGTATACGAAACTAAACAATTTTTTTTCACATTTTTAAAAAGAACCAGTGTATCTATCATTTTCGTAGAAACAAAAACTCGGTTATTTCAAAAACAAAGATGGTGTGGGGCGTTCAAATTATCAAAGTACGGGGAAGAGGAGGAGAGGGGGAGTGGAACTAGTTTTATTCTTCATGGTACTCTAATGAAAGGTCTCAACGAAAGGAATTAATTTCTACCAACCATAGCCCTCCTCCTCGACCTCTTATCGTGATCGGGTATATTCCCTTATACCTCAAGACCGAATTGTCGGAGGATGGTACTCACAAAGGGCGATTGAAACGTTTGCAAGAAATATATCCATTGGTGATGTCAAAACAAAACAAAACAATTTCGGTTAAAAAAAATGCGCGTTATCTGCACAAGAGCTGTGCATAATTTATACTTGTTTAACTTGTTTGTACTTGCACACCTTTTAAAAACCGAAATTCTTGTTCCCCACTAAAAATACACGTTTTTCGTTTATAGACCATAACGTTTACAATTATATATAAACTTGACTCAAACTGTTTCAGGGAATTGACCTTCCGCAAAAAGGTAACTGTAGGACTGATAACGATAAGATAGTGCAGGATAATAGTATTATGTGTAAACCGCTATCAACGGGATGTCTATCACGCCGTGACTCATTTTGTGGGAATTTTCTCGTATGCAGTTTTTTTTAGAAATGTAGGAATGTCTGAGTAAAGACCTGCAGTATGTATCGAAGTCCATTCGATTTTTCACCGAAACGCCCCACGTTTTTCACTTGACGTGAGGCGGAAATATAAACTCACATTACTACTTCGTATATTTTGACATATTTTGGAAATTGTATTACGTGAGTGTTCTCTCCGAGAAAATGTGACCTTATGTACTGGTTTGGAGAACGTTGTTATTTTTATGGGATTGTTGAATGACACTTTTCCAACTTCGCAGTACTACATGTTTTCATATTGAAAATAAGAGGAAAGAATAAAAGGAAATGTTTTTACTTCCAATTTATTTTCGCGTGTATCAACAAGCGTTACGTCGTAGGTAGTTGTTTTTCATTTGAACCTTTAAATGGTCATTCTGTCAGCTCGAAGGGATAATTAAATTTCAGGGTTGTCTGCAAGTGAAAAGCAATTAATTTCAAAAGAAAGTAATCCCCCATACGCATGTAAATGATTTTTCCGCTTTCCAGTCAGTCTATTGCACTCGGGGTTTAAGAAAGGATTCAGGGGACAACAGTAAACTTTAAGTTATAAGAGTGCTCAACGGCTTTGTGTATAATCTTGATATATTGAGCCTACAGAATATCGATTCAGATGAAATTTTACGCTTTCCATCTAAATTTTGTTACTGGCACGCAGGCGAGATTCATTAGAGTATAAATTTACTATGCTCATTTCGTGCCCTTTCCCTTCCCCTGGATCGTTCAAAACGCGCTGTCTGAATCCAAAATAATTTGTTAATTATTTTCAATCTCATTCCGAAATCTGCACGAATCTTTTCGTAATTATACCCTCACGTGCCGTTCTTACAAAATGTACCTACCCGTTCGCTCTTTTTCAGTAAGGACGCGCAGTGTCGTAGGTGTAACTTCTAAACGAAGCCATTTTCGTCTACCTGCAGTAAACGTCAAAAGCTTTTAATGTTTAGCTTTAATCGCCACCCGATTAAGGTCGTAAATTTCAAATTACCGTCACTAATTGAAAAACAATATACTTGCTGCGTAGTTAACGTTGCGGAAACATCGGGCAACGCCAGGTTTTTGAAATTGAAATGATCACCGGAGATTATTTATGACATTCACTTCTTGCGACTCGTTAAACGGACGCTTGCCATAAATCAGCATTGATTTATCTTTGATTTCTGATTGCTTTTTTTGTATTTTAGATATGCAGTCGAATGTGTGCATCTTAACTGTCACGACAGTCATCCTACTTTACGTCACAGTTGCCTACGGCTGCTCCTGTGTACCTACTCACCCCCAAGCGCAGTTTTGTAATTCACAATTTGGTAAGTAGGAAAGTTTTCTTTTTTGAACTAACTTAGATACTATTTATAAGATAACTTGTGATGGTCATGGTCATCGACGTATAACTGGAATTTTTTGTTTCACCCACCATTTTTGCGATGGATCGAAAAAATAAACTGAGGTGGTTAAGATCATATTTTTTTAGGTCTACTAAAAAACTCACTTGAAATTTTTGAAAAATCTTTAAAAATAACTGAGGTATCACCGAAAAACTGAAAATTTCAAAATTCGTTTCCATTTTTCCGGTGTCGGAAATGGTCGGATCCTGTTGGCACCTTCTATGGGCTATGGGCGTTCGGAGAAACTGAATCTCGTATCAGAATTTCTATAACACGCTAGATGTAGAAGTTACAAGTGACTACGAGGGTGACTACTTTCTTATTTCTTACATACGGATTTTTACAGAAAGAGATAGAGGGCAAAAAAGAATGACGTATCACACTCCCTAAATTTACATGAAAAATTTCAAAATCAAGTGTTTTACATTAATTTTTCAAGAAAATATGCACCGGTAACTATATCTTGCTGAAAGAACATGGTTACGATGGCGATACATTGAAATTAATTCCTTTTTTGTCCTCTACTTCTTTCCGTAAAAATCCAATATGGCATCCACAAGAAATAAGAAAGTAGTAGCCTGTAGGTAGCTTCTAAACCTAGCGTGTTATGGAAATTCTTATATAGATTCAGATTCTCCGAAAAAAAAAGTACCCATTCGAAAGAAAACTAGTGTATCTATTGTTTTTGTAAAAGATAGTTAGGATCAATGCTGGTGGAAAAGTAAAAGCACATTTGAATGGCTTCTTGAACACCCTTTAGAGATGGCAACTACTTTTTTCTAGACTAGGGCAAAAGTCGCACACGGCTCTTGATTTTTAATGCTGCAGCGTACTTAAAACCTTTGAAATCCCTGAAAACCCAATTAATAGAAACTATAACCGGTTTATTTAGATTTTTCATGAAACGTCAGGGTATCCAGATATGTTGATTTAAGAATGAGATACGGCATCTATTCCGTCTTCTTTGTGTGAACCTAAATATTACTGTGTACACTAATCCGTAGGCAAGAAAGACCGTACACAAAACGCCAAAACAAGAACCTAGCTAGCTCTTTACCTTTTATTATGATCACGGCACAAAACTTCTCCCCAATACAGAGGAGAGATTCGACTCTGCTCTCAGTTAACCTCAAACAGATAGTGTGTCAACTCAAATACCTTAAACTCCAAACTGAACTGCAAAATTTTGAATAACTAAAATGGACCTTGGGCAAGCATCCAACAAAAATACAGGTAAATTAGAAATGAAGTCGTTGTAAAGAAACACACGGCAATTAATGCGAAAATTACAAAAGTGCGATTTAATCTTAACACACAAAAGGAAAATGGTACAAAAATACAAACAGTTATTACAAATAGACTAAAATTACGACTTAACTATTTACATTCTTGTTCGGGAATTGAAATATGCAATCAAAAGGTATCCGTACACAGTTCATAAAAATTAAAATTTTCAATTAACATAAATGACACTTTACACTAACGACGTTGGGTAAACGCAGTATCTCCTCTTCGGGTAAACAAGCACATCCACGAAAAAACTCACATTGAACGAAAACTTTCGATGTTTGCTATGCTTCAATTCAAATGAATAATAAACTGGCCGTAAATCAGCGATGGAATTCGCAAGAAGCGAAAAAATCTGCAACGAAACATAACTCGGCGTGGAACGTGACAAAAAGCGACGCTTTTCTTGTTAACGTCCTAATTAAGGCGAAACCCTTCTTCCGATAATAAAAATTACAACAACCAATCATACACAGTTGACAACAAAACTATCCTATCAACCCACGTTATTAGGCCAAGAATAGAGGTCGATTAAATTTCTAAATCAATTTGTTATCAGACATTAAGAGATAATTCCAAACTTAAATTCTAGGAAAAATAAAATTTAATCTCTCTTAACTACACAGAAAAGGCGATAAATCACATCTACCTGTCTATTAAATTAAGCATTTACATTTGATAACAGATAAAGACCCAAAAAAATGCTCCGAACTTTCTACGTTTAAATAGAATGTAAACAAAAACAACCTAGGGAAGTTAATAACACAAAAAGGAGACCGCCCTTGTCCATCTTAATTAGGATTTCCGAAAATAGTTGCATGGATTGCGAAAACTGAATTTTTAAAAATGGCATCTTACGGCACTTGTATTCGAGATATCACTCCGTTCTCGAATACAGATATACGTATAATTTTGAAGAACTGTAGCCGATCTCGACGTTGAGACCTGAACAATAAAACAAGCTCCACACCCCCTTTCAATCCTCAAAATGCTAGCTAACATGGCGAAACATGGATTTTTGTTATTCTCTTCTGAAACCATTTTGACCTTTTTCGAAGAAATTGAGTTAAAATAAAGAATGTCAGTATGGGAGACCTGTTCGAAAGCCAGTACATAGTAAATTACTTGGTACTATCAGAGGCATACGTATGCAGAATGTGACACGCATTGATCAAGGCATGTAAAAGTTATGGACGTTTTACTTTCCAAAACCGCATTTGAAGATAACATTTGAAGGGGCGGGGGGTGTTAAAGACAAAAAAATTGAAAGTCGTCTGCCTATTGAAAAAAATGAAACGTCAAAAAAACTCTAGGAGCATTCCCCTACAAAAATAAACCAATGTCAAACTCCGCTGAAAAAAAAATTAAAAAAAACTTCATGCTAAGAATCGGAACACGAGTCGCCCGGTTGCAAGTCGAGTATCCTTACCACTATTATAGACTATTATGGCACACATTCGATCGTGATTAAACTGAGTTGGTATTCCGAAGTAGTTGTGGGGAAAGATCCATTTTTTATGCGCGTGGGCGCGTCTGCCGTTTACAAATATGCGGTCTCTGGGCGGATGGGAGGACGAATGAACAAAACGCAAGCAACAGCACATTTTTTTGTATAAAAAATTCACGCACGCGAATCATCGGGAATTAATCCTTCGAGGACGAATCTTCCGCAGGCGGATCTTCTGAAGGTGAATATAAATAAGTTAAAAAGTAATCGTAAACGATTTACATAAAGCGCATTTCCACTTGCATTCATTTCCTATTTGTAAGATGCAACTTTTGTTAAAATTGTAAAAATCCGGCCACAAATATGAAAGATAGCGTTGCACATATGCAATCCATTGTTGACGTGCTACTTCAATTTCAGTTTATAAGAAGAGTTTCATTTAAATGCTTCCATTAATAAGAAAGTTGGCACTGCGCATGTGCAAAACCAAATTTTGAAATTGGCGTTAAATTTGCTTTTATTCCAAGTGGCTATGTATCAAATTTCATTGAAATACTTGTATAATTAAAAAAGTTTGCAATTCGATTTATAAATGGTCGAGATGCGAAAAGGGCACTGTGAATTTTGAATCGATTTGACTCAACTTTTGGCATTGCATATTATATGGCTAAAGCTATGCCCATATTGAATTTCATGCAATTCAGTTCATAACTAACGAAGATGTAAAAGCGATCGGACATTCCTAAACAAAGTTATCGTTCATACGGACAGATAGAGGGACAGACAGACAATGGAACAGACGGACAGACCAACAGGCAGGCGACAGACAGCAATGCAAAATTATAAACGATCTCTAGGATCGTTAATAAACGGCAAAAGTGTAAAATTATGGAACATGTAAAAAACGGTTTTTTTACAATAACTTTTTTTGTAAGCGGTACAGAAAAAATTCCTTCCTTGGTGCAAGACTCGACACCATAACGAACCAAATAGCGAAAAAAGTAGAACAATTAATAGCTCTTAAGATAAAAAACTAGTACCGTCTCAAAACGAGAGAACAGACGGACAAAGTGGGCACAACAGCATTTTTTTTTATTTTTGTGGAAGTGCGCTAAAAAGTTATTTAGCATTTCCTTAAAAATAGTTGAAAACGAAAGAAGTAGGTCCGGGTTCAGGATCAGCCATGGTTACGAAATTTTATTTCTGCACTTTAAATGAACAGTAAGTACCTAATTAAATTTTCAACTGTTAAATTTCCGCAAAAAAAGCTACACCGAACGGCAGAAGGTCAAGGTCCTAAACATGACTCTCACTGTAAAGGAAACACGCAATGTGGAAAAAACGTTCAGTGAACAACTTTATTCATCTTTCCAGCAGAAATTCTCGACATTCCAAAACCACCACACTCATCGCCGCTATACAAAAAATTCCTTTAGCCACCTGAAGATGATGTATTGTCGAAACATGTAGCAACCATCGTGTAGTGTTCACCTTATTGTAAATGAAGAATTAGGTAAATTGAATGAATAAAGCACCCTTAATCTCCGAGAACACATACTTGAAGATTGCTTTCGTTTTTTTTTCTGATAGGTACTTTCTTTCGGTAAAAATATTATATTTTTAAGATTGTCGAATGGTTCTTGCAGGAGCAAGAGTCTCGTTTTAGAAATCACCCTAGTGCTCTCTCTGCATTTGATTGTAACAAAACAATCGGGTTTTTGAAAACCGAATTAAATTGTGGGATGTGCGCGTATATAAGTTCTTAGAGGGCATTAATCGTTTAGTTTAGACATAAACACACATTCTCAATTTGAAAATGCAACCAATTTATTAATAATATATTGTGCTGGCCCTCGTAATTATACAGTGGTTGTTATAGAAGAACTTGATTTGTAGCCAAATTTGGTTGGATTCTGTATAAAATATAAATCAAGAAATGAAACCTTCTCAGACTCGCTGTGTAATTAGGTTAAAATGAAGCGTAATTCATTTAGTTATAATTCCAAATTTGAGATTCGCCGTGCTTAATGACTGCAATGAATGAAATGTGTAACATTAGCATTACAAATTTGATTAGCCCACATTAAATTGTGTGAATCTGAATCACGCTGTGCGGAAAAGATTTGTATAATAGCGGGTAGGCGACTTCTCGTAAAAGATACAATAATACATTTTTGGCGTTTTACTTCAAATTGAATCACTATTTTTAGCAATGATTGAATGTTGTCGATACTTTTGTTCGGTAATTGGGGCACGCGGATGGTTCATAATTAAACAATGTTTGCGGTTTAAATCAGCCAGATTTCGAAATTGAAATGTTCTAAATTTTTAAAGGCGTTTCGAAAAATTTGCTTTGGAGATTGCACAGATGTTGACAGCTTGTGAGCACACGAAGGATATCTGGTTTATGTTTGATCTGAATACGATCATCGATCTGCATGTATTTCGTAATATGCATACCTGATGAATGTTTGGTTTTGTTTATATCCGCGATTTTTACTTAATAAAAATATACAACCTTTTCGCTTTTAGGTGTGCAACAAGTATGTTAATCATTTCAATACCTGTAGGTTTATCAGCAATAGTTTAATGGGGATATCATATCTATAACTGTATGAGCTTTTTAAATGGGTTAGGCTGGTTCGGTGGATATATTTTACGAAAAATGCACTAGGGTAATTCATCATTTCTATCAATTCCGTGAAAGTCCTTCAATGTAGGTATATGTTACCGCTAATGTTAGAAAAAGTTAACGTGCACATTGACAGATTAATCTACTCATTAACGGTTCAGTAATTTCCTTTAAATTAGTAGCAATCTGTAGGTTAAGGTTACCTAGTTAATATGCACATTAGGCCATAAACAGATCTATCGTCCGCATGCTGTTTGCTTTTACAAGGGGAGTTTCCTCATATAAATAAATGGCGAAACCTACGTATGAGAAGTTTTGAAAGATTTGCCAAGCTCTTCTTGGCAAGTGTTTGATGAGTATGCACTACCGGAGATATTCATCAGCTTGCACTCGACTTTTGTTTAATATTTTATTCTTCATTAATAATTATTTTGTTTACCTTTCTATTTTGAAATACACAGAGTGTTCAACGACGAACTGCGCATAGATTTTTGAAAATTTCTACAGGGTGATCCAAATTTTGATACTTTCTCATGGAAACACCTTTTTTTTAAAAGATAGAAAAAGTGGACCTAAGTGTCTGGAACTCAAAGGAGAAAGTCACTGGCGCAACCAGTATTCACTATCGGTACCAGTATCTCTAATCGTTAGCGGCTAGAGCGCGTTTCTCGAATTTGGTCGATTGCTGATAACTTTGTTATTTTGAATTTGGCAAAATCTTTCGTCGAGCAACATCGCGATACACAGTTTTTATACACAGTGTTTGGTTTTTTATACGACCCTAAAGTAATTTTTGCATACGAACCACAAGATTTTAAGAAGACCGTAAAATTTCCTTGTTATATTTATAGTAAATATTATTTGCAATATTGTATTTTATACATTAAAATATTTTTATTTCAGATATCTAGGTTTGCATGGCGAACAAAAGATGCCAGGATTTTTTTAAAATTTTATTATCTATACAGAAGAAGGGTCTCTAAGCGCTCGCACAGCAAAAATCCAAAGTCTGATATGCAAAATTTATTTTTTCTATTTCGATTTTTAAATGTTCTTATTAACGCACTGTTTTCCGCTCAATGAGTCCTATTAACGCACCGTTTTTAAGTTGGCAGATATCACTAATACGAAAATCCCTATGCTCAGTTATAAATATACAACGTAATTGTAGGTTTTAGGTTAAAGGTTATGTCCTATGAAATTCAGAACGAAGTTGTTTATAATACAAAATGAAAAATTATAAACTAATTACTAATTAGGTTTAACTACAACGAACATGAAAGACTACAAACTACTTTTGCACGGAGCAATTATTATAAACATTCAAGTTTATCACACAATTCTCTGCTGCATGTATTACTACACCTGGTAAGTTTGTTTCGGACAGCGATATTACAGAGCTTTTTTTCATGTGCACAGTTTGAGCGACCTTATCACTCGATTCTACAGGTTCGCATTGTGTTGGTATATTGTCGTCTATCAACGAAGTTGAGCATGATGCAATCTGCGATGCTGATGTTATTGTGGATGACGGCTGATTTGAAAGCATCTGTGAAATTTCTACGCGCTTTTTCAATGAACCCTCTACATAACCTTCAGCTACGGTGGAGGATTTCCAGCCACCATGCCGCTTAATGGTTAAAAGATCGCCACCGCTGTTAGCTAAATGAGAAGCGGATGATCGCCGAAAGCAGTGTCCCGAAAACTGCTCCGCATTAGGTAGTTGTAAGAAAGTAGCTATTACTTTTGGCATCTGACCAATCTTATTTATTCCGATAGGCTGATTTGTACACCTCCCGTTGCGGTAGTTGAAGAAAAATCTGCCGCTGCTTGTGTTAGATGGTCTAAGATCAACATACTTCCTAACACACGCTATCCAATAGTGTTCCGTAATCGCAAACAAGCGAGACACATTTGTTTTTGTTTTAGGGACATTAATCAAAATCATATCGGTTTTAAACTCAACATCGTCAATGGACATGCATGTTAATTCCTCTCTTCGCATGGCACCACAATAACCCATTATTAACACCACCTAAAATCGTTTACTCAGTAATATGACTTAATGAAAATGTTGTAGTTACTTTTACGACAAGAAATGTTTGGTCCGGAGCATCGGTAACAAATCGAGTGATTTGGTCAAAGTCTAGAATTCGTGACTTTTTTGGTTGATACCCTTTTGAAAACGTTTTCAGCAAGGCAATCAACCTTGTGAACTTGGAAATATCGATGTTGCGTTTTATGCTCAACATCGAACGGAGCATTGAATAGTTCGTCCAAATTGTTGAACCTTTCTTCGTTTGTCCCATGGATCGAAAATATGCTATTAAAACGTTTTCCGTGATTGAAGTAACCTGATGCTCCATTGTCCAATTTACAAAAATGTTGTATGATTTCTCATACTGATTTTTGGATTTCTCCGGTATCAACTTATCAGTAGCATTATTTGCAATTTGCCGTAGCTCAGGCGGAGTACATTGAATTTCTTCATTCATGGTAAATTATGTCGCTAATAAAACTTAATAAATGCGAAATTTTATTTGAATTTGAAATTTTTCCCTACCACCTTAATATAACCATAACGTAAAAGTCCCTAGGATGGTTAAAATTTATACATAGTCAAATTTCATACTTTTACATGTTTATTGAGGCATTAAATTATTGAACGTCAAATATCTTCTCAATAGAAAAAATAGTATAAGAGACACGTTTCATAAGACGCCTGATCGCACTCGTTCATTAGAAAACTCGCCGCTGCGCGGCTCGTTTTCTAAACTTGAACTCGTGCGATAATAGCGCCACTTATGAAACTTGTTTCTTAATATACTATTTTCACACAATTATATTTGTTTCTTGATGATTCTGGTCAAAGCCAACTTTATAATTAAACTAAGTAACACGTAATGCATTGACCAGCACGTCCCAAAAGGACATAACTATGTGAGCTATGTTTTTGTTTACGCTATGGTTACAATTTCAAAGATATGTCTCCATAAATAAGAAAGTTAGTATTGCGCAATCTGCGCACATCTGATTTTTGCAATATGCGATAGTTACCTTGCAGTACCTGTGGTTGTAATTTCAAACAAGTTAAAAGCTTCTATGGTTAATATCTGCATAAATAAGGAAGTTGGCACCGCGCATAATGAGCATAGACTGCGCAGAATACGCATACACTGTGCATGCGCACATCCGATGTTTGCAATATGAGATATGTTTGCCTTTGAAAGAAGCATTCATATTTTGTAAAAGATATCTCGATAAACAAGACAGTTGCTATTGCGCATGCGCACATTAATCTGATGTTTACAATATGCGATACAATGTAGTACAAAGTACTGCTGTTTAGGTTTTTGCGTTTGGGTTGAATATGAGTGAGTTGTGATAGCGTGGTGTGTTTCTGAGAAAGAGTTTTCTGTTTTTTAACTATTCTAGGACGTGTAACTTTATTAGGTGGACCTGTTTTTGTATTGCATATTGCGTTACTTGTATTTATTGTGTTTGTTTGTTCAGTAAGTTGTTTTTGTGTGGTTGCTTGGGTTAATGGTGGAGATATTACAAATTACAATATGTTGTGAGCCAGTAGTGTTGTTTAGGTTTTTACGTTTGGATTGAATACTAATAGGTTGTGATAATGTGGCTTGCTACAGAGGCGAATCTCTGATTGTAGTATATGTTGTATCATTTGTTGTACTTGTTTGTTCAGTAAGTTGTATTTGTGTGTTGTTTGGGTTAGAGGTGGAGATATTACAGTATGTTGTGTACCGTGTTGTGAGCGAGTACTGTTGTTTACATGTATACATTGTGGATCATGTGTGTATGTAGTATCTGTGTTATGTTTAGGAATTTACGAACAATATGGCATGTGTTGATAATGACTGCTTTTTGTAAATGTTTGTATGTGTTTTTATCTAAACCTAATAGTTGTAAATTGTGGTGTATTGTCTTTGGTATAACTCCAGTAGCACTAAGAATAATGGGAACTATAACAGTAGATTTCATTCTCCATTGCGTCTTTCGATAGCTATATCGGTGTATTTGCGGTGTTTTTCTGCATGTGTTTTAGTTAAGTTGTTAGTGTTGGGTATGGCAATGTCTATAATACAAAAGGATTTTTGTGTTTTATCTATAAGTGTAACAGAGTCGACAAGAATCATTTGTCACTGTCTTTATGTATGTGTTTTTTATAGTTGCGTCTTGTCTTGCTAACATGAAACCCTCAGTCTCCGGGGAGATATCACATTCAGACAACCAAATGTGCGTTGCTATAGAATCAACACAATCCTGGCTAACCTCTTGTGGAAATCGTCCATGTAAAGGGTTCTGGTTCCATGTCTGTATGTTATTTGTGATGTATGTAAGTTTGGATGTGGGTGGGAGTATATTAGTTTCGTGTAGGTTAAGTGGTGTGTAAGATTTGTCTGCATATGTTACTGTTTTGTGTAGGACTGAAGTATCTGATTTGTTATAAAAGTATTGTCGCAAGTTGTGTATTTGTGTTTGGTGCAATAGTTTTATATCTGTAAGTCCTCTACATCCTTCCGAACGAGGAAGGTTAAGTCGTATAGTAGAGGAGTGAGGGTGATGTATATGGTGTTTTGTTAATAGTGTACGGGTGTTTCTCTGTATTTGTCCAACGTATAATATGTATATGTAAGCACTGGTGTGGCATAAGTGTTAATAGCTTTGATTGTATTTCTACCGTGTAATTTTGTTTTAAGTATACTGCGTATTCTTTGTAGCTATTGTGTGATAAGTGTTTGTTTTATACTTGTATGTTTAATGTGTGTGTTTTTCTGAAAACCAAGACACTTATAAGTTTCATTCTCGTCCATGGAATTTATAAAATTACCCTGTTCTAGCTCATAATCTAAAAGTTGTCTTTTGACCAGCTGTGATGTGTTGTGTTTTACATTTATCGATTCCAAAGTCCATCTGTATCTCCCGTGAGAATGTTTCGGTAATGTGTAGCAGGTGATTAAGTTTTATGCTTGTGGAAGAGTATAATTTAAGATCGTCCATGTAAAACAGGTGTGTAATGTGATGTATTTCGTGGTTATGTTTAATATTGTACCCAAAGTTAGTAGTGTTTAACAAATATGAAAGTGGATTAAGAGCAAGACAAAACCAGAGCGGACTTAAAGAATCGTCTTGAAAAATTCCTCTTTTAATTTGTATTGGGTCAGTAATAAGTTTTGTGTCGTTTAGTGTAAGTGTTAACGTAGTGTTCCAACATGACATTATGTAATTGAGGAATTGTGTAATATTGTTGCTGACTTTGTATATTGAGAGTACTTGTTGTAACCAAGAGTGTGGTACTGAATCGAATGCTTTTTTGTAATCAATATATGCAGTGTGTATGTTTCGTTTGTTATGTCTGGATCTGGATTGTTCAAGTATTACAGTCTATATAATAATAATAATTATTATTATTATTATTATGTAAAAGCTGCATCTTCTCGCGCAGCCTGGGTGCGCTAATATGGAACAGTGGCGGCTGATTTTTATTTATGTTTGTTAATTTGCGATTGTGGTGTATTTTTATCGGCGAAAATAGGAATGAATTATTCTTGTACATAAAGACCGTGCAGTGATTAATTTTATAGAATTGCAGTAATGTGTATTAAAAATTAAGAATCACACTGGTCACATTTTAAATCCGGGTAGAGTCCATATCTTGGCAAATGTTAGATGTTAAGATGTGCTTTAAGACTGGATTTATGTTTGGTGACGAAAGCGCACTAGGCACACTTTAAATCCTTGGTGATCTTGTATGTTAATAAATGTGTTTTATAATTATATTTATCAGTCGTTGCATAGTCACACTGGACACATTTTAAATTATTGGTAGTCTCGTGTGTTAAAATACCATTGCGTATATGCGGTGTTTGATATTTACGTTTCATACCAGTCGTTAGTTATTTTAGAAATGTAAACCAATAAAAGTACAACTTAAAATGTCAACTCAAATTAATAAATACAATCACTACTTTTAAATAAAGTTTAGTCCTTAGAAAAACCTCTTTTAAGAAAAAAATTCTTGTAAATAATTTCGCTTAATTTTGTAAGAACTCATGGGAACTTGTATTTTCTAGAATTTCACCTATTAAACCGTTTTTCAAAAGCGAAGAAATAAGTAGATTATTATGATGCACGCAGTGTGGGTTTGATGTTTTTACATTCTATGAGGGTAGTACAGCCCGTACAACGCGGTTTCTACTAATTAGCTAAAGTTTAAGCTCGGGTGAATTTATCAGATCAGTGGAGTCTTCAAAATCCTCGGAAACGAAGTGTTCAAGGAGGGTACTCTTAAGGAGGATATGGAATGCAAACGAGAGATAATTGTCGGTTATTGCAAAATTGTGACAAGCGTTGGTTGGAATTCGAGTTTTTCCGTCTTATTTTATTGACTAGAAATACCATCCCATGTGTGACATCCTACATCGACGATCAGCATTAGTCTAGCAAAACGTAGAAATTCTAAATAATATATAAAATTTGAAAAATTCTGCATCGATCGGGAATCGAACCCGGGCCGCCCGCGTGGCAGCTACGACGATTAGAGAAATGACGACGGCTAGTATCTTACTAGATATTATGGATTATTAAATAGCGTGGGGTTTTAGACTAAGACTACCAAGAAACCTCCATACGGAACCAAAATTTGAACCAGGGACATCATTGGTCGTAATTCCCCACATAGTTGGCAGACAGGAGAAATCCACTAAATTTAAGATGCATATGGAAAATCATTGTATCAAATTTTTCTTCTGTCGATCTGAATTGATAAGAAACAAATATCGGCTTGATGGTATAAAGAAAAATTGACAAAAATGTTTATTGAGCTCGGAATGATCACATTCGCACAATTCGTAAATCAGAATAAAAACAAAATAACAAATAATACTGCTTGTATATAAAATAATATAGAAAAATCCGAGGAAAAATCGTTACGGGCGTCATTTTTTAAAAATTAATTTCTCCTTTTTAATTTCTTGATCTTGATTGTTAGGCCAATTTAGCATTGCAAGAAGGCGGTTTCTAGAGTCGTACTCGTAAATTTTTTTAATCTGTTTTTTGTTGAAAACCCCCTGTCGTTTACTGAAATAAAACTAGACATTACATTACGTTGTTGTTGGTTGGGTTGACCTCGACCAAAACCAACTAACGCTTGTCCTATGGTTGTTTTTGGGAGGCTTTGGAAATATGGTGTCTACACATACCTTCGAATCATTTCCACGGCAAGTAATGGCGATAAACCGCTTTCCATCAGAGCGATCGCCACAAGGACAGCAGAACGTCCAAGTCCGCAACGACAGTGAACAGCCAAAGTTGAAGTAGGATACTTTTCGAAATGATCTGCTACAATTTCAAGCCAGTCCTCTATTACTAACATCGATGGAAAATTACCATCAGGATATAATAATTCTATAACCATTATTCCCACGTTATTGAAAGGGATTAAATCGTAACTCCCCTCGTTGGTCTTTACGAGCGTTTTCGTGTTGTACTGCATCAGTTCCTGCAATTTGATTGGATAGGTATACTCACACCCCCGCGAGGAGTGTCGGTAGATGACAATTCATCTATCTACACTGCCCTATAGATTTAGTACAGTTACGTATTGCTGCATATAAAAGGGATTCGGCGTTACACAAATAAGAAAAGTCAATTTGTCGTAAGTTATCAATGTTGCATATGCTCCGGCACTCATTTTTTCAACGAAAACCGAACAAGTGCGATAGCTGTTAAAGAAGGTTGCACACTGAAAATTTTATCAAGATGAGACTCCCACTGTCAAAAAATGACAGTGTGGCATATTCAACACTTCGGAATCTACGGTACGTGACTTTTGCGATGTTATTACGCTTTTTTTAGCGGAAGAGTATCGACTTACGCTTTAAACGTAAACAGTCTTCAGATATGGTGCCAGTGTAGTAAATATTATTGTAAATATACCTTTATCGATGAAAAGATATCAAATGTAACTAGTAATTACTAATTGGTATGAAGAAAAGAATGTATGTAAACGTTCCTTACATCCCTCGTATTTTATGTTATAACAATGCCTGGAATGCGAGACGAGTGGTAATAAAAGAAAGTGGCGATTTTGTATTAATTTTGTGCGAACCGAGTGGGGTGAAACTTTTATCTAAGAATAAAATGAGTTTATGAGAAAGTATTTTATAGATACATATAATGCAGATTGCAGTAGCGTAACTTTGGTTGAGATTGCAGCTCGGACTGCAGTATCTCGACTGTTTTTAACACGTTTAGCGCCGCAGCGGTCCGTGGGGGCCGCTCGTAACATATCTGATAGGGCCACGGCGGTCCCTAGGGACCACTCGGTAGTTGCAGCAGTTTTTATTAAATTTATTATTTTTATTTTTAAATAAACAAATGTACAGTGTGTAAAGCGATGGGGTATACAAGAGGGAATTGTTTTTAAATATTGATTTATGAAAAAAAATTATTCTTCATAATATTTTTTGCTTGCTTTGAAAGTACCAATAACGTTTCGATTGTTTGTGGTTTGATAGTAATACTCTATCTTAATTATAATGTAGAATGATAACTTTCAATAAAAAAAAATTAATTTTATTATTTTTCCAAATTTTTATAAATAAATTTTAGATTATCGAAACGTTATTGGTACTTTCAAAGCAAGCAAAACATATCATGAAGAATAAATTTTTTTCATAAATCAATATTTAAAAAAAATTCCCTCTTGTATTACCCCATCGCTTTACACACTGTATCATGATATTTATAACTTTTTGCCATTATACCCGCCATAACATATCCGAAAATGCTTAAAATAGTTTTTTGCCCGATAAAAAATTTTCAAAAATTTCTCGTGGCACTCAACGGGAGATGGTGAGTTTCGCGACCCCACTTTTTTGCGAAACTTTTAATATGCCAAATAGAATCAATCTAGCTATGTTTGTTTCTGAATCCGAATTCCAGCGCTGCTATACTGAGTAGAGCAAGCGTCTCCAACACACTCATATGAGATCGTTGATACACGAAAAAGAGCGAGACATATTTATACCAATGAAACAAATCGATACAACTTATATTTTCCAAAATAAATTATTGAAGTGAGTAAACTGATAGACGAAAATGCCGCTGTTTGAATAGGTTCAACAACGAAAACGGTTTCGGGTTTATTGTACTGACTTCTATATTTGGCGTCGTGATGGCGACCTGATGGCGCCCCGATGTCGCTATAGAATATTCGCTACAATATATAAACAGGAGAGATTTATTTTATTTTCGATCCGCCTGCTGCGAAAGCTCCTATAAGGTTCTAGAAGATGCGTCAAAAGAATAGAAAGTTGCATATAGGTGCTATTTAGTGTAACGGCAAACAGATATGGATATGGAAATGAGTATCGCGTTTTAGTGTTCTATGAGTACGAATTTGAGCCGGTCATAATCGCCTCTTAGCAACTACATGCCTATTAAAATACCTAAAATAATGAATATGTAATCTGCACGTCAACACCTTTCATCTCGTTAATTGGAGAATAAATCTGTAAAATTTGAATCGTACTCTTTCCAATCTTTTATGACGCTCGCGTGTTTACTAGGTATACCTATTTCATCCTGTGTTAATATTTGTATTTTATACAGGGTGAGTTTTTTTTTCATTTTAAGCATTAATTAGGATCTCGGAAACCGTAAGACATAGAGATTCGGTTAAATGAGGAATGTTAGAGCTTATTTAAGATATGCTTTTGTTTAAAAAAATCCACAGTTTACTAGTTATGAGAGAAAAAAGATTTAGTGATTTTTCTTTAAATGTTGTAGAATCGTTAGTATTAGAAATACAGAAATAGGTATGCAAAGAACAAAAATTGTAGATTTTTTCCGCTTAGTAAGGTACATTTATTAATTTTCATTCTTCGTTTATAATTTTCGAGTTATAACGCAAACTTACATGTTTTTAAATTGCAACCATAGTTGGCTGTGACATTTTTAAAAAGTGCATTTTTTTCTGTTTACAATAATAATAATAATAATAATATTTATTCCTCAACTGTTTTACAAGTAGTATATTTACAAACATAAATAAAAATTAATATGCAAAACAGCCAAGCCATATAAGGCGTAGAGGAAAAAAAACTCGAGTACGTAATATATATATAAATAAGCTTCAAAATAGAATATTAAATGGACTAAATGGAAATAATTACACAAAAAAAATAAGGAATTATATTAACCGGTTGTACTTGAAAAAAACTCAACCACGATTTAAGTTTGCTTTTGAATTTATTCATAGACTGTAAATTTGTAATATGTGACGGCAACTTAATGAATATTTTAAGACCCTGGTATATTGGAAAATTTTGTAATTGAGTACTATGTACCTTAGGTAAACGAAGTTGAGTGTTTGTTCTAGTTTTGTGCTCATGTACATCTGACGGCTTAATAGTTATGTTTATTATTATAAATTTGTAGAGATATTCTAAAAATGTAGAGATTTGTTAATGTAAAAAGTTGCATGAAACAAAACTTTCCTCTGCAAGAATCTAAACGGTTCATATTGAGAATCGCTCGCTTTTGCAATTTAAACGGAATATATCCTTTACGCTTTTAATAAGAAAAATCGACTTAGCTAGTTTGAAGCAAAGGTCTTCTATATGCGGTGCCCAAGAGAAGGTATCGTCAATTGTAATGCCAAGAAATTTGGTGCATGAGAACGGTTTAATGTGATTGTTATCTAGAGTTATATCGGGACAGTTGATTTGTACATTCGATGAATAAAAAAAGATGTAGCATGACTTGTTGATATTTAAGAACAGCTTATGATGATTCATTCAACTGTTAATTTGTCCAATGATATGGTTAGCGTGTAATAAGAGTGTGTTATAGCAAGTGTTGTGAATGATCAGGGAAGTGTCATCTGCAAATAAGGTAAATTTAACAGTGGGGAATGAAGCAACTAAGTCGTTGATATACATTAGGAATAGAAGTGGACCAAGTACGCTTCCTTGCGGAACACCACATTTAACTGTTCTGTATCCGGATTGGAAGGTATCAATGATGCCAGTATTTGTTAAATATTTAATTTCACACAATTGTTGTCTATTTTGATATAAGGTTCATTGTACTTACTTTGACAAATAAACATGATACACAACTGTTTGTATTATTAATAGTAATAAAAACAGAGTTTGCCATGTAAAACATTTTTGGTCTCTTAATTAAGAAATTACGAAATATTACATTTACATTTCTACTTGGAAGTAATACTAATTACATGTAAAAAAATTAATTTATCTCGGCAAATCCATCATTAATATTTACACACATCTTATAGCGATAGAATTTACAGCTTTCCGTATTATCCTTACCATTTAAATTGCAAAAGGCATTTACCACAGCATCACGTAGTCTTTTGTCGCATAAATTCGCTGATAAATTAAACCCCTTTAGAACACCGAAAAGAAAAAATCTAAAATTGAAAGATCTGGCGATCTTGGTGACCAAAGGGCCGACTCGTTTCTACCTATCCATGAATTTGGAAATAGTTGGTTTAGCTCTTGTACTTGCAGTTGGTTGTGCGGCGGCGCACCGTTGTGTTAAAACCATCGTAAATTACGTCTTGTTTACAAATCTAACCCATCCTACATATCTTGAAATTCATTTGGGAAAAAATGAAGATAACGTTGGCCTGTCCAATTTTCATGGTAAAATAAATGTCCAAGCATTCGCGATCCCCACCAAACATTAAACTCAAGTTTTCTTTGAGGCCATCAACAATGAACAGCAGTATATTGTTTATTTATTGTTTTCCATGGCATGATACGATCTACTTTTATAGTATATTGAATATAATTATTAATTTAACTTTCATAATGAATAATAAATATGTTAAATGTGTTACAGTTACACTATTACCTATCTCATTACATATTGTTTTCCATGGCGAACTCTGTTTAGTTACCTCTAAATAATACGAAAATTCCTGCCGCTCGTTTATTTATTAAAGTATATTTAGCAAGCTTTTTATCCTTATAAAGAGAAAAATTTGTTCTTTTTAAAAATGTCAAAGCCAACTATGACTACCATTTAAAAAAATTAAAGTGTATTATAACTCAAAAATTGTAAAATATAGAAGGAAATTAGCATGTTCATCATTAGAGTGTCTAAAACTTCTATTCGTGTCGTTTTTTGTATTTCTAATAATAACGATTCTAGAACAGTTACACATGAAAAATCACTAAATCTATTTTTCGCTCATATCTAGTAAACTGTGGATTTTTTTCAAAAAACAAAAGCATATTATCTTAAATAAGCTCTTAAAACGACAACTCTTTCCTCATTTAACCGAATCTATATGTCTTATGGTTTCCGAGATGCTTAAAATAAATTTTAAAAAAACACCCTGTATATGGCAGTCTGATGGCTTTGGCCATTGTTGTACATAGGACCTTCTCCATGAAGTTTATCAACTCTACTTTTCAGAACCTATATTTGGTATACTATTTTCTTCCACAAGTTAGCCCAATTTGCTATTTCAGAAAGTAATAGAAACGGAAAATGAACCACAACTAAATGGGCAAATGAGAGCGATTCTAAGATCTATAACTGAATTCGATATTAACCAAATATACCTACATCATTGGAAAAATACACACATGATGGGAATTTTAGGAGAACTTGAGAAGGATTTAATAGAAATCTAGGCAGAATCTGAGAGGAATTTAATGGGTTCCTCTTCAGGCTTCCCGAGGAAAATTTTACGGAAACTTGATGGGATCTCGGAAAAAATTTGATGGGAATTTAAGGAGCGTTGGTGAGAAAATTGTGAAAAACTTGGGGAGTG